GGTAAATCATACTTCTTGCCACTTCAAAAATTACAAAAAGTTTTGGAGTATCTACAAAAAATAAGAAAACACCTATCAACTAAAATAATCTGTGAGAAGCAAAAAGTAAATATCTAGACTTAAATAACAGAATGCAAGAAATCAAATGAGAGAAGCATTGAAGATAGGGAACCAAGGATCTACAAATCATGAAGAAATATAGTCACCTCCATCTCTTTGTTGTCATTATTTTAAGAGCTTAGCCTGTCCTTCATTCTAATTGATAGACCATAGCTCCTGCCATAAATTTTACAAATTAAGCAAATCTTAGTATTTTCATACTTATAAAAAAAAGATTGAAAATGAATGTGATAAGTATAAAAAGGACTATATGTAAGTTGGGTGACAGAATACTAACATGAATATATAGTTTCGTTGTTCTACACCAAAATACTTTTGGATCATTTCCATTATTCAAGTTCTGCTAATGTGCCGTTAAATGATTAGGTCTTCATGGCTGGTAATGTTCTCTCTTTCTTTTATAATATAGATTCCAATGCATCTTCTATATGATTTTAAAGGTTCCCAATGGTACTATAATTCTACACCTAATTTTTTTTTGAATCCTCTTGTTTTGATGTGTTGATTTGGTTCAACTATTTTGTTATTAAAAGCTTATAACTTTATGTACTTAGTTCTCCTATTAGCTTTCATCTAACTATTTATTATTCAGTACACTAAGAAATTATGAATCAGTTCTCCAACACAAAGCAATTCTTTCAGACTAACTAACAATTAAAGTCCAAACCTTGCAACAATTTTACACCATGCCAACAAAGTAAGCAAAACAAATTGAAACATGGAGAGTTATAAGAATTTCTCCTCAATGGTACAAGCTTCAGCATGTCAAATGAACAAATTCCTTTACTAAGGTGTCTTTGAGCTATAAAGCCTGTTATCAGTGATGTCAAAGACCCAAGACCTCTCTTAGGAATAAAGTCATATATATGGTACGCCAAAGAAAATCTTAACATTCAAATAGAAATTAAGTGAAGAAACACATAAATGCAAATCCAGTTATATTAACAATACAACCAAGTTTTGAAATTATTGTTTTTTTTAAAAAAACTCAAAGATCAACAAGGTATCTAGAGTGTCTGAAACATTTGAGATTAAAGAAATTTATGTATTTACCTTTAAGTTAAAGGATAAATCAATTACTTTGTAAAATTACTCTCACCACTGAACAACTATAAAACAACTCTTCTCAACATAAACTTATTTTACTTTCCTCTCCCAGCTAAGAAAGAAGTTGGTTTACCAATGACAGAGTCAATCATTAGCTCTTAAAAAGATCATGTAGAAGGGACATACATGTCAAGTTATTTATTGTTTAATTAATTGAAATTCATACCAACGTGCACGAAAAACAAAAGTGCATAAAAGAACCATAGTCATAGAGAAAGGGAAACAAAAAAGGAGTCTTAAGCTCACAACTACTCATCCAGACAATTCCACAATGAACCAATTGAATGGAATTAGGAGAATACCTTAAAAGGAAGAGCAAATGATACTAACAACGCAACAATACTTGTTGCTCGTCAAAAGTCATTAAACCTGTAGAAATCGAAGAAAACCATTGAAATTTAGTAAATAGGACTAAAATTTTCAATAGTGAAGAGAATGGAGCTTGGTGTCCCAGTTATTTAAAAGATTGTACAGATGAAGAAGTAAAGATTTGGTCACCACTTATTGTTGACACAAACTGTAATCTTACAGTAGTTAACAAAGAGAAAAAGAGGAGCTTTAGAAAGCAAAAATTGATATACTAATAATAAAATATCATGTTTTCGATTCTAAAAATTGAAGCTGCCATAAAATTCGAAGTGACGATTCAAATCCTTACCTCATAATGAACCACCCATTGCTCTATCAAGCAACTTTGTTGTAGTGTTCACCCATTATTCCCCTTGAACTCCAAATAACACTATCTGCATTTCGAGATCAATTTAATTCTTAACATCTAATGTCAAAATATCCTTTAAAATTCTGTAAGTTTCGATTTCAAAATTTATACAAATGCAAAATTAACCTACATGAAACAATTGAGGAATGTAAATTAACATTATCTTCTAAATACTAATTTAGCAGGCAAATGTGTATAAAACTACACAATCAAGAAGCGGAGGAAGATAGAGTGAAGAATAAAGCACTCAGCAACACATGGATTCAACAATAAAGCAGTGAAAAACAAATTGACAAACTCACAGAAAATAAATGAAACATAATAAGAGTGACCGATGCAACAGAGGTCAACTGAATATTTTTTTAATAACTTTCATTTACATCCACATAAGCTTCATATATCTTATACAATACATATGATCCCTTAAGCAATTTCTCCAACAAACTAATATAACATAATTCATTATCAAAATGTCAAGAACTTGGTGACAGTAACAACTTTTAAGGAGAACACAAACATTAAAAATTCAATTCACAAAACTGTCAAAATAAACGACAATTAAACATGATTGATGTATTAATGTCTAAAGGATATAAATCCCAAATCAAGACAGATTTGGTATAAAAACCAAGCATATCATACTAACACACTTTATATAATGCATCACTAAAAATTATCCTTCACTTCAAGCAGACATGCAATAGCATGTGTTATCATCTTTCATTTTTTTTATAAGGTGAAGAACATATGGTATGGCATACAGATGAAGACATAATCAACTAATACCAATTCTATCTAGGGCAACAAAAGTCCAGATTAAAAAAAAAAGGTTTTCTGAGGTGCAAAGTGAAGTAGAATTCATGAAAATAATGCTCTTTATCGTGTAAAAACAATGGACTATATATGCATATCGAGGAGTTCGTCACAATCATATATTATCCATATCTTCCAAACCCATATGCCCACAAATGAAAATTCAGAACCTTTTTACATTTTCTCATAAGATGTAGTTGCTTTATTTTGATAGCTAATGTCACACATCTCTATATTTCTTGACTGTTTCTTTTACCTCTTCATTTAAAAGACAGTATGGTCTACAAATACCCAGTGTTCACACATGAGTCGATGTGATGTAGGCAATCTAACCTAACGAAAGCATATATAGTTGATTCCATGATTTGGGGCATCTTACTTGTAACATGTCATTGTACAGTCATGCCAATTTTTTAAAAAAAGAATACATGTTTGTCAGAACTAATAGCTGTAGAGCTAATCTTTGTAAATGTGTCGCCCTGATTTAGAGTTACAAAAGCTTTGTAATGACTCGAAGCACCGAAAAGGCACACAAAAATGAAGGCAAGACAACAAATTAGTCTAACCAATTTATCATGGCACAAAATAGAATGAGTGTAAATTTACTTTTGCACGACAATTTCTTTTTTCAAAAAAGGAATAGAACACCATACCTATGAGCATCTTGTTGCATTCAATTGAGGATCATTGAAAACCCTAGCTTCCTGAAGAATAACACCCTTTTCAATCCCCATAAACAGGAAATTAAATAGTCCGTTGTATTGTCATAGATTTCCAATATGAAAATGCCATTTCACCACTAAAACGCATGTTGAACAAAAAAATTGTTGCCTCCTAGACTTCTAAATGAAACAAAAAGGCATATATATAACATGCAATGAGATGAGCTACCATAAAATACATAAGCTCGACAAAGTAAAATAATAAAAGTTGATGTTTTTCAACAATTTAAATCATAAACTTAAAAACTATGAACTTATCGTAGGAGGAATATCAATGGTTGAAATCTTTGTTAGAACTTATGATCAGCCACTTTATTTTGCTAAAGAATATGACAATTTTATCTATTAATTAACATTAATTTGACAGGAGAAAATTTAGAGACCTTAGAAGCTATGAGATCCAATTTTGCTCCTTTAGAGTTATGTATTGGTGAGGTGGGGTGTTTCTTCTGCTGAGTGGTACACGTGGTGTGCTAAAGAAGATTGTGCAATCACACGTGTTATTAACAGGAAAGAGCAAGGAAATTTAGTACAGTCCAACTCTAAAGTACACTTTATGTTGCCTTTTGTAAAGTTTCTTGATGCAGTGTCCGTCCTTTTCAAACTGGCATTTCTAAATATTGGTAATAATTGTTATCAAATAAAAGAGATAAACATGAGTAGAAAAGGTAGGCAAATGTCCAAAAAGAAATAAAATAGGGAACTGCAATTTAAGTGCAATACACATGTCTGTGTGAAAAGGCAAAAGCTTAAAAAAGTTAAATTGTAGATAGTACATCTCATGTAACATTTGATACTACTATCTGCTGCAGTGTTCGTCCCTACCTAAAGAGATAAACTTGAGTAGAAAAGGTAGGCAAATGTCCAAAAAGAAACAAAACAGGGAACTGCAATTTAAGTGCAATACACGTGTCTGTGTGAAAAGGCAAAAGCTTAAAAAAGTTAAATTGTAGATAGTACATCTCATGTAACATTTGGTACTACTATCTGTTGCAGTGTTCGTCCCTACCCAAAGATAAATGAGTAGAAAAGGAAGGCAAATGTCCAAAAAGAAACAAAACAGGGAACTGCAATTTAAGTGCAATACACGTGTCTATGTGAAAAGGCAAAAGCTTTAAAAAGTTAAATTGTAGATAGTACATCTCATGTAACATTTGGTACTACTATCTCCTGCAGTGTTCGTCTCTACCTAAATCTCATTTCTAAATAAAGGTAATAATATAATACATGTTGACTTACTATGTATTTGGCTGCAGTGTTTGTCCCTACCCAAGTCCCATTTCTAAATAAAGGTAAAAAGGTAATAATATAATACATGTTGACTTACTATTTATTTGGCTGCAGTGTTCGTCCCTACCCAAGTCCCAAGGGTAATGTAATAATATAATACATGTTGACTTAGTATTTATTTGACCTCCTAGTCTTCACTACAACACCGTGAATACAAGGCAACTAGCCTTCTATATAGGAAATTGTTTTGCTTTACTAAATCTTGATCAAACATATTTGTTGATATACCAGCCATGGCGGAAGCAGTACTTTCTGCTCTAATGGAAGTCCTCTTCCAAAAGACAGCTTCCCAAATTTTCCAAAAAAATGGACTACTAGGAAGTACAAAAAAAGAGATGTTGAATCTACAGAGCACATTATCAACAATTCAAGCTGTTTTACAAGATGCTGAGGACAGGCAAATGAAAGAAAAAGCTTTGAAGAACTGGCTGGTGAAGCTCAAAGACATAGTCTATGAAGCAGATGATTTGTTGGATGAATACATGACTGAACTGCTTCGCCATAAGGTAGTTCTTGATGACAGGGAAACCCGTTATTGTGTTTTCCATGCTGTTAATTCTCTTTATTTGAGTGGTACATTAATTTTTTTGGGTTATAGTATGAAGTTGAAACTGAAACAAGTTGTGGAAAAGTTAGACCTTGTTGCGAATGAGAGAGCCAAATTTCATTTTAGGGATGTTGTTTATGAAAAAAGGTTTTCTTGCGAAAGACCACAATCGGATTCTTATGTAATTGAATCGAAGATTTTAGGGAGAAATAAGGATAAAAAGAATATAATCAAGTTACTTATAGGATCAGATGTGTCAGTTGTGAGTATTATTGGAATTGGAGGAATTGGGAAGACAACAGTTGCGAAATTGGTTTACAATGATGCTGTTGTGGAGAATAGTTTTGATACAAGAATATGGGTTTGTGTCTCAGAAGGATTTAATGTGAAAAGACTTCTTAAAGCAATAATAGAATCTGGCACTGGTAGTAGTTGTAACCTTGTAGAGATGGATGTGATCCAGCGGCGTGTCCAGGAGTTGATATTGGGCAAGAAATTTCTGCTTGTCCTAGATGATGTATGGGATGATGATCATGAGAAATACGAGAGATTAAAAAACTTAGTTCACAATGGTTTGGATGGAAGTAAGCTCCTAGTGACTACTCGCAATGAGAAGGTTGCATTACTGATGGGCACAACAAATCCATACCGTTTGGAAGGCCTTTCAGATGGTGACTGCTGGTCCTTGTTTCAGGAGCTTGCATATAAGAATAGGCAAAAAGAACTATTAGCTCTTGAGGAGGTTGGGAAAGAAATTGCAAAGAAATGTAGGGGAGTTCCTTTAGCGGCAAAGGCCCTTGGAAGTTTGATGTGCTTAAAGAATCAGAAATCTGAGTGGTCCTTCATCCGTGATTGTGCAATGTGGGATCTTATGGGACATGAAGATGGAGCTGGTATTCTTTCGGCCCTAAAATTAAGTTATGAATACTTGCCAACACATTTGAAACAATGTTTTGCATATTGTTCTATATTTCCCAAGGGATATCGGATAAATAAAAACACCTTGATACGCCTATGGATGGCGGAAGGATTTGTTCCGTCCTCTGAAAGCATACCACCAGAAGAAGTTGGGAATGGTTATTTCAATGAGTTGTTGTGGCGCTCCTTCTTCCAAAATGTGAGAAGAGATTTTGATGGGAATATAGTCGAGTGTGACATGCATGATCTTGTTCATGATCTTGCCAAATCTGTAGGCGGTGTTGATTGTTTAACAACAGAATTTGGCAAGGAGGTTATCATTCCTGTGGCGACACGCCACTTATCGATGTTTGGCAATGAGGTGGTACCTAAAAATCCCGGCATGTTGAAGAGTGCTCAAAATCTGCGATCATTTCTTCTATTGGATGGGCAGAGAAATATCACAAAACTTTCCAAAAGTTTCTTTTTGAGCTTTAGATCTATTCGGGCTTTAGATTGCAGCGGTACTAGCATAAAGAAGTTGTCTAATTCAATTGGTACTTTATTACATCTGCGGTACCTCAATCTTTCACATACTCTGCTGAGAACATTGCCTAAGTCTATCTGTTGCCTCCTTAATCTTGAAGCTTTAATACTTAAGCATTGCAACCATCTGATAGAACTTCCGGCAGAAATTAGAAAGTTGGTGAACCTTAGACATCTGGATATATACGGATGCACATCCTTAACCATGTTACCTGGTGGCATTGGACAGATGAGATCCCTTCAAACTTTGCCAGTTTACATTGTTAGCGATGCTGCTGCTAGTGACATCTCAGAATTGCAGAGACTTGATCTTCATGGTGAATTAATGATCAAGAACCTTGAGAATTTGTCCAATGAAATATGTGCCAAAAATGCAAACTTGAAAGGGAAGAGGCACATCCGATTTCTAAAATTAATATGGGCGCAAGTTGAAGAAATGGAGACAAGAGAAAATGTTGAGCGAGTTGTTGAAGGGCTTCAACCAAATTCTGATTTGAGGAAGTTACACTTAGAGGGTTACATTGGTGCAAATTTCCCCAGTTGGTTGATGACTACATACTTGGTAAACATTGTGGAACTCTCACTTCTCAAATGTCACAGGTGCGTGGAACTGCCTCAACTAGAGAAACTGCCTTTTCTTGAGGTTCTCACTGTTGATGGAATGGATTCTGCAATGTATTTCTGCGGTAGTTCTGGTGGAAAGGATTCGGCTACTCATTTTGCATCACTGAAGCAACTCACCCTCAGGAATATGCCCTGTCTACTGGGATGGTCAGTTAATGAAGATCATGGTATTCTTCCTCGTCTGAAGAAATTTACGTGTGAGGCATGTCCCTCTTTGAATAACTTGCCATATCTACCCTCTCTCAACTCATTAGAATTGTCTGATTGTAGCAGTGAATTACTAGCTGAGACAGCAGCCAATGTTACCTCCCTTACTCATCTTATGATCAGTGGATTTTTGGAACTTATACACTTACCTGAAGGGTTGCTGAAAAACAATATAAGTCTGCTGTCTGTAGAAATTAGAGATTGTCCAGAGATTCGAAGTCTTTCGAGTGACCTGAAAGTTCTTCCTTGTATTGAGTCATTAAGCATCAGTAACTGTAAGAATCTCAGTTCTGTGTTCGATTCCTGTGGACTTGGGACTTTGAAGTCCTTGTCCATTCATGATTGCCATAACATTAGCCTGGAAAAAGGATTACAAAATTTACAGTTTCTTCAATATGCATCACTCTCTGACTGTGGAAACTTGACAACCTTGCCGATGCCTATGCAACACCTTACGTCTCTCCAAACTCTGCATATATGGAGCTGTTCTGAGATGTATATGCTTCCAGAATGGCTAGGAGACCTCAGTTCCCTTAGAGAATTGGAGCTGTGGTACTGCGGAAAATTAAGTTCTCTACCAGAATCAGTGAAAAACCTAACCAAGCTTCAGTTTCTGTCTATATGGGGCTGTCCAAATTTGGGGTTAAGATGCAGAAAGGATGTTGGAGAAGATTGGCACAAGATAAAACACGTTCCATTCATCAAGATTAATGGTCCATATATCCAAGCTATGACAGGTAATTAATGCATTTTAGATCAATTACTTTTTCTGGTTACACTGAAACAATCAGAATATTATATATTACTTCTCATTTTGACTGCTACCAGTTTCAAAATTAATAAATATTACTTCTCATTTTGTTCAACATGAGTTGATGTTCACAGAAATAAAAGAGAAACATATTGAATATGAATGACTTTATTATTGATGTACTGAAGGGGAGCCTGGGAGCAAAAATAAAGCTGTCTCTGTGTGACCCATATGGGTCACGGGTTTGAGCCGTGGGATCAACGACTGATGCTTGCGTCAGAGTATGCTGCCTACATTGCATCCCCTTGGGGTGTGTCCCTCCCTGAACCTAACCTGAACGCGGGATGCCCTTTACTGAAATGATTTTTATAATATTGATTGAGGATAAGATGTTGCATCAAATTTAAAATTAATAATAAGTACTCGATAATTGCTGTATGTTAGTTTGACTTCTCTTGATGGTAGTTTTGTATTTAAGGAGGTGACTATTTTATTCGACAAGCTTAAGTTAGATAGTTGGTCAAACCAAAACGAAGGGGAGAAGTATAGTAGAAACACTGTTCTTGTTTTTCATTCGTAAAAGAATTTGTCCTTTACCGTTTGAACTTCATATTGAACCAACATTCCATAACCCTCTTTATTGATCAGGGTTTAGGACCAACTACACTCCGTGAGGCGTGCGCATAGTTAGAGTAATTGTTGTTAAATGTACATTAGTTATTTTGTTTCCAGGGGATTTTTATGTTACGTTAAAAATTTGTACGTTAGTATAGAATAAGTGTTGGAGTTAAAGAACCTCTAGTTTGAGGGAGCCCTTGCTTTTTTCTTTTCTTTTCTGGATAACATTGAAGAATCCTTAAATTCCCTAAAAAGAGATTATTGAGTTTGGTTTCTTATCCAAAAGTTTTATTCAATTTGGTTTCTCAGTTAAAAGGTTCATATAGATTCATATTAAAGAGATCAAGGTTCCTGATTAAATACCATAATGCTATCTTTTTGTGTAGTTTATTATGCATCAATTGTGAATATTGTGTGGGAGTTGTTAGCATGATAGACAACTAAATGGTTGTATATATTAATGTAATTATATAGTGATATAAATTAGCATGATCATATACATTTGTTGTAGAATCATATGAATAAATATTGTGATAGAATAGCTGATTTGGAAGGATAGCAAGGCAGATTTAGAGGGATTTAATGGCAGATTTGTATAGATAGAATAGCTGATATTTAGGGATAGGAATGGTGATCTTTAGGGATGTGTAATCTTTATTTTCTCTATATAATGGAAAGACTCTCTCACTTTGAGAGGCATTCAGCTGAAAATTGACATGGTATCAAAGCCTTCTCTTGGCTGTCTTGTTTCATAGAGTCATCTGTGGTTCCTTTTATATTTTTTTTGAAAATCTTGGTTTTTGGCTACCTCCTGGGAATTTTGTTCTTGATCATTCTAGTTGCTTTCTTGAGTCTTTGTAGTTTTATAGCTATTCAAAAGCATGAATTCACATCACTTTGAATCCTTCAGTGTTCGTTGCACTGGAAAAAAATATTCTTCTTGGGAGTTTCAATTTCAGTTGTTTGTCACCGGCAAAGAACTATGGGGCCATATAGATGGAAGCGATCCTGCTCCTACTGATGCAACAAAGTTAGGTGAATGGAAGATTAAAGATGCTCGGGTGATGACATGGATTCTAGGGTCAATTGACCCTCTTATTGTTCTTAATCTCAGGCCGTACAAGACAGCTAAGGCCTTGTGGGATTACTTACAAAAGGTTTACAACCAAGATAATAGCGCAAGACGCTTTCAGTTGGAGTATGAAATTGCTAATTACTCTCAAGGAGGTCTTTCTGTTCATGATTATTTTTCTGGATTTCAAAACTTATGGGCTGAATTTACAGATATTGTCTATGCCAAAATACCTACTGAATCCCTATTAGTGATTCAGGCAGTTCATGAGCAAAGCAAGCGAGACCAATTTTTGATGAAATTACGCTCCGACTTTGAGAATGTTCGCTCTAACTTGATGAATCGTGACCCGTCTCCCTCTTTGGATGTTTGCTTTAGGGATTACTTCGTGAAGAGCAACGTCTTGTCACACAAAATGCTTTTAAGAAAGAAAATGATGTCACTACTGCATTTGCTGCTCAATGTAAAGGAAAGGGCAGGGATATGAGTAGAACTCAATGCTACAGTTGCAAGGAATATGGTCATATTGCTAGCAATTGTAGCAAGAAGTTCTGTAATTATTGTAAACAACAAGGACACATTATCAAAGAGTGTCCCACGCGCCCTCAAAATCGTAGGATCAATGCTTTTCAAGCTAGGATAAACGGTTCCACTGATGATAACTCATCTTCAGGACAAGTTCTAACTCCTGAAATGGTACAACAAATGATCGTGTCAGCCTTTTCAGCATTGAGATTACAAGGTAATGATGTTACATCTAATTTTTGGATTGTTGATTCAGGTGCTTCCAATCATATGACCAACTTAACGAGCATCCTAAAAAAAGTTCGTAAGTATCAAGGTCCATCGCAAATACAGATTGTCAATGGTAGTAATTTACCCATTGCCAAGGTTGGGGACATTACTCCAACTTTCAAGAATGTTTTTGTTTCACCAAAGCTCTCAACCAGTCTTATTTCAGTTGGACAATTGGTAGATAACAATTGTGATGTGAATTTTTCTCGTAATGGTTGTCTTGTGCAGGATCAGGTGTCGGGGACGATAATCGCGAAGGGGCCTAAAGTTGGACGATTGTTTCCTATACACTTTTCCATTCCTCCTGTTCTATCTTTTGCTTGTACTTCTACTGCTAGTAAAACTGAGGTTTGGCATAAGCGTCTAGGACATCCAAATTCTGTTGTGTTGTCTCATTTATCAAATTCTAGTTTATTGGGAAATAAAAATAAATTTTCAGTTGCTTCTATTGATTGTTCTACTTGTAAATTAGGCAAAAGTAAAACTCTTCTTTTTCCTAATTTTGGTGGTCGTGCTACAAAGTGTTTTGATGTCATTCATAGTGATGTTTGGGGCATTTCACCAATTATTTCTCATGCTCATTTCAAATACTTTGTGACATTCATAGATGATTATAGTCGGTTTACATGGGTGTATTTTCTTCGATCCAAATCTGAGGTATTTTCCACGTTCAAGATATTTTTGGCTTACATTGAGACTCAATTTTCTACATGCATCAAATTATTAAGATCTGATTCTGGTGGAGAATATATGTCTTATGAATTCAAAAAATTCTTGCTTGACAAAGGGATTGTCTCACAACACTCTTGCCCATATACACCACAACAAAATGGAGTTGCTAAACGAAAAAATCAGCATCTTTTAGATGCCACTCGTACTTTATTGATTGAGTCATCTGTACCATCTAAATATTGGGTGGAAGCTTTGTCTACTGCTGTCTATTTAATTAATAGATTGCCATCTAAAGTGCTAAATCTTGAGTCTCCATATTTTCGTCTTTATTACCAAAATCCTAACTATAGTGATTTTCATACATTTCGTTGTGTTTGTTTTGTGCATTTGCCTCTTTCGCAACGCAATAAACTTTCTGTACAATCTACTAAATGTGCTTTTATGGGTTATAGTACTTCACAAAAAGGTTTTATTTGTTATGATCCATATTCTCACAAATTTCGTATTTCTAGAAATGTTGTTTTCTTTGAGAATCAATATTTCTTTCCTACAATTGTAGATTCATCTTCTGTTTCTCCTCTTCTTCCTACTTTTGAGGATATATCATCTTCTTTTAAGAGGTTCAAACCTGGATTTGTGTATGAACGACATCGGCCAACTTTACCCTATCCCGACATTGATCCGCCGCCTGAAACTGCACCACAACTAGAATCTGAGAATTCTTCAAGATCTGGTCCTCTTGAGCCTACTCGGCGATCTACAAGAGTATCTCGCACTCCCAATTGGTATGGCTTTTCCTCTACTTTATCCAACATATTTGTTCCATCTTGTTACTCACAAGCTTCCAAGCATGAATGTTGGTAGAAAGCAATGGAGGAAGAACTTTTGGCTCTTAAAGAAAATGACACATGGGATATTGTTTCATGTCCTTCAAATGTCCACCCTATTGGATGTAAGTGGGTTTATTCAATCAAACTTCATTCTGATGGAACTCTTGATCGGTACAAAGCTCGATTGGTTGTTCTTGGTAACATACAAGAGTATGGGGTGGACTATGAGGAGACTTTTGCACCCGTAGCCAAAATGACTACGGTACGAACTATTATTGCCATTGCTGCTTCACAAAACTGGCCTCTTTATCAAATGGATGTCAAAAATGATTTTCTCCATGGTGATCTTAAAGAAGATATTTATATGAAACCTCCACCTGGTTTGTTCTCATCGCCTACATCAGATGTATGCAAGTTGAAGTGGTCTTTGTATGGATTAAAACAAGCTCCAAGAGCTTGGTTTGATAAGTTCTGATCTACTTTGCTACAATTTTCTTTTGAGCAGAGCAAATATGACTCATCTTTGTTTCTTCGGAAAACATCTACATGTTGTGTTCTTCTTTTGGTGTATGTAGATGACATTATTATCACAGGAACTGATTCTTCACTAATCATTTGCCTCCAACAGCAGCTTAAAGATTCTTTTCATATGAAAGATCTTGGTACTCTTACTTATTTTTTGGGTTTGGAAGTTCATAATGTTGCTTCATGTGTATTTCACCAACACAAATATACTCAGGATCTGATTTTTGGCTGGTCTTCAAGTTTCCTCCTTCGTAAATACTCCACTGGAAATGAATGTCAAGTATCGTCGTGAGGAAGGCGATCTTCTTCCTGATCCAACTATATTTCGACAATTAGTTGGGAGTCTAAATTACCTTACTATTACTCGGCCTGATATCTCTTTTGTAATTAGTCAATTTATGCAAGCTCCTCGTCATCTCCACTTGGTGGCTGTTCATCGCATCATTCGGTACCTTCTAGGAACATCTACTCGTGGATTGTTCTTTCCAAGTAGTTCTCCTATTCGGCTTAATGCTTTTAGTGATTCTGATTGGGCGGGATGTCCTGATACTCGTCGTTCAGTCTCTGGTTGGTGCATGTTTCTTGGAGAATCATTGATATCTTGGAAGAGTAAAAAGCAAGATCGTGTGTCAAAATCTTCAACAGAGGTTGAATATCGATCCATGTCTACTACTTGCTCCGAGGTTGTATGGCTTCGTGGATTACTTGCTGAGATTGGATTTCCCCAATCTTATCCTACTCCTCTCCACGTTGACAATACAAGTGCTATTCAGATTGCTACTAATCCAGTTTTTCATGAGAGGACCAAACACATCGAAGTGGATTGTCATTATATACGAGAAGTTGTAGATAAAGGAGTCATTACTCTTCCACATGTGTCCAGTGATCTTCAAATAGCTGATGCGTTTACAAAATCCATGGCACGGCAACGCCATCAGTTTCTAGTAGGCAAATTGATGCTTCTTGATCCACCAACATCAATTTGAGGGGGGATGTTAGCATGATAGACAACTAAATGATTGTATATATTAATGTAATTATATAGTGATATAAATTAGCATGATCATATACATTTATTGTAGAATCATATGAATAAATATTGTGATAGAATAGCTGATTTGGAGGGATAGCAAGGCAGATTTAGAGGGATTTAATGGCAGATTTGTATAGATAGAATAGCTGATATTTAGGGATAGGAATGGCGGATCTTTAGGGATGTGTAATCTTTATTTTCTCTATATAATGGAAAGACTCTCTCACTTTGAGAGGCATTCAGCTGAAAATTGACTGGAGTATCCCATACCATCAGGATTTTGGTGTTATTTGTAGCTCATTCCACATTATGTATTAGCTACTCTATCCTTTCTTATCATACCAATTGCAGTAACTTCTATTACTATCCTCTTGAGTATTCCATTTATGGTAATCCAAATGTATCACAAGTCCAAATCGAATGGCTCCTTGTGTCTTTTCCCTAGAATATCTACTAATTATATGATTTTAGAGCTAAAATTGCTGTTTTAGTGAGCAAAGGTAAATAGTCATTACGTGCTTAGCAATTACGCCTCATTCATCTATTTCCTTTGAGACTCCTTCCATTTGCTATATGATCAGCAATGTGTTTTGTCATACAAAATGCTAGAGAATTGTTAGTGATTTTAGGCTCTCATGATCATATCTATTTCTTCAACATTTCGACTTGCCTAAGGTTAAGTATAATTCTTGGTTGTAGCAGAAATATCTTTTCTCTAGCAACATAGTGAAAGTAGTTTTCTTTAGAAATCAACAGATAAAGCAAAAGTTTTAGAATTGGGATCCTTGTAGAATGTCTTGAGGGGTCTTTGGTAATAGAACCAAATAATACACGTGACAGCTTGACATGAATTCGAAGTAGTAAATTTTAAGCCTAAATATGAAAATTTCACTCATAGGATAGATCATTCACACAAAGTCTAAATCATACCCTAAATATGAAAGTTTCACTCGTAGAACAACCATACTAAACCATTTCACTACCAACTAGCATTACAAAAATGAAGTTGGAAGAACAAAGCTCTTCTTGCATCACTCGCTTGGAGATTTCATAACGATAACAACTCACTCTGGGAACAATTAATGAATGCAAGAAATATAGCTCCCATTCACCCTCCCATATTTGGAATAATGTTTGTGCAGGTTGGAATCTTTGTCTTGAAGGTCTTTTCTGTCTAGTAGGCGATGGAGAAACAAAATAAAATTTTGGATCCAACATTCCTTGGCACTATGTAACATGATTCATAGGCCTCTCAACTTCAATGAGGAACACTTAAACCATCTCAGACTACTTACATGATAGACAAACTTTTCTTGCTAATCTTTCCGTTGAACTTCCTGAACACATTTTTCAATAGATTGGACTATACTTACATTAGAAGTTCCAATCACTAGGAAGATTTCGAGATCTTCATATGGAAACAAAATGGGTTGTTCAGTACTCCATCTTTTACCACCACAAATTGGAAAAAGATCATACACTTAACTGTAAGTGGCTCTGAAACTAAAAACTTTGAACAAAATGATGTATACTTCATTTGGCTAGTTTTGCATGACGTAATTTCAATAGCTGGCCTCCTTCATAAACACAGGATCTGACATTTTAGTTTGTGGGCTGCAATTAATGAGGTAGAAAATGTTTGAGCATATCTTTCTTAATGGAAATATGCAAAAAGATTTTGGACTAATCACGGAATTCAACACACCAACATGCACAACCCTTTTTTCCTAGATAAAAACATGAATGCATTAACGAAAATATTGTGCATAACTTGAAATTGATAGAGTTATTCCCTTTCTGTTTTTGGTAACAACAACAAGATGCCTAGTGTAATCCCTTAGGTGATGTATGAGACCTTACCCCTACCTTTGTGGTGTAGAGAGGCTGCTTTTGGCACCTATGGTAAATAGAAATAAAAAGTGCTTGGTATCCACAATGTTGTTACAAGGGTAACTTAATATACAACCCTAAACAACTAACAATAGTATCCTCCATCAAACTGTTGAAGTCAAATGGAACCCTCATCTTACGAACTTATATAAACTGAATGTTGATGCTAAAGCAAACCTTGAAATGAGGGATTATGGGATGTAACTAGAAATAGCAATGGGGGAATAAATTGCTGAATTCGCCACAAGTATTCCCTTCTCAACTAACACATTTTGCAGAGATTATATCGCGGTTATGGTAGCATTGGCATTTAATTAATTGTTCGGGTCAGCTTGCACTCACCTCGACCATTGTCTTTTAATTTATATGTGTTGGAAGTCGAAAGAAAGGTAGCCAAAATGCTAACTAATGGCAATGACCGTTATGCTAAATCTCAGTGATGATATTGCAGGTTATCCTTGACTAAGGTGGGGAAGCCAACAAAAGTAGCTGATGGACTAGCTAAAAATGGAAACAAAGCTGAATACCTAAGTTTCTTCCTTTTAAATGTTATCTGTTTTTGCCTCCTTCTGTATCTGTATGTTATGAAGGGCCAGTTAGTGTACTAAACCATTAAGTGGTCGTTTGGTAGCTGGTTTGGAGGTGAGTTATGTTGATATTAAATCCTCCCCATGTAATTTCACGTTTGATAACTAGTTAAGATGTAAGTTATTCATGTATAAATTTGATATGATATTTGCTTTGCAATTTAGAAACACATGTATAAGTTGTTACGAGATAATCTATATTTTATTTTGGTGAATGGAAAGGCATATGATAGGAAGGAATATAATTTTGTTGCAAGGAGACAGAGAGCTAAAAAGTCCAATTCTTTTGGAGTTTTCAAGTTCAACTTGTTCCTACTCTTGTTTGAATCTGAAGCTCCAATTTGTCTCTTACTGCAAAGGGAATTTAGCTGCTGCTGCCTGTGATAATTTGTCTCCTTTTTTTTTTGTTACAGTTTGCTTTCTCGTGACTTATTTGCTTTTACATGAATGATTAGTCACAATTCCTTTCAAGAGTCAACCATACTCTTAACTCTATAGATTCTTTTTCAAATATTTGCAATAAAACAATTTAAAATTTTAGTTCTATCTTTTCTTTTGTTTTAAATTACAACTATTCGTGTTAGGACATTCACCAATCAGAACAAAAAAGCACTTCATTGAGTTCAACAAAATAATGCACTGTTTAGATTAATCTGTTTGTACTCATTATAAGACAACTGCAAATCAGAATATAGACTCAAGGGTAATGCTCCAAATATGCTGCTCCATCCGCTTTTACTTGTTTATTAGTATCATTTTAACCTTCTTATTAAGTACTACTTGTACTATTCACTTCCCAAAATAATTTTAAGATAATTTAAAAAGTGTGCCGAATCAAACATGAATAAGTAAACGAGATAGTAGAATCTTGTGAAGTGATCCAAATTTATCATCTATTGATAATTGGAGCCAGGTACATCCCTAGAGTTGCAACATTGATATTAGTAATGGTATTAATGCATGCATTAGTATGATTAAAAGTATACTAATTAGATGGATATATTTGGATCAAAAGTATAACAAGGATATATATAAACTTTGATAGTACATGAATATATTTGTGTTTTTCCCTTTTTATTTTAATGATAAATTTAGTTGAAAAGTTAGGTGATTTTAGAGAAGCTCTTAGCTCCATCTCATATTTACTTTGGTCAAAATACAAGATAATATTCTTTTCATTTTTATACAAGTCAAAAGATAATTCCTATTAATGTGCAGTTTAAGGTTGCCTGTAATTGCAGATTTAAGTAGCCTTGCTAGTCATCTGCATGCTTCCTTCCACTGGAAAAAGAGGGGGAAATAAAAGTCTCCTAAAATGAGCTAGCAAGGACATGTTTAAATAAATTAATAAATGCAGTATCTGAGTTGAATAAGATGTTTATTAAATATATATATTAAAAAAAATTAGACAATAGGTATCATAACTATATATGGAAAGTCCAGGGAAGATGAGTATGACAAGTAATACTGGTTATGATAAATGCACATCTATTATATATCATACTACTATTTAATTTAATACACCAATAAGTTTGGTGAGAATGCATCATTTATTGAGACCAGAACATGTCATTTCCCAAACAACCAACAACCAAAAAGTTCTTTGAAAAATAGCTGTTGTCATGGAATTTAAAATAAAAATCGTCGTGAAGTTTTACCTGTGGAATTTGAGACACGATAAATGTGACTATTTTTCAAAGACATGATCGAGACATGGCCAACGGGCGCTAATTCTGTGGATTGTACCTGTCAAACTTCTGTTGTTAACAACTAGGCATGTTAAGCTCAAATAATGGCCAAATCTCAATAAAAAACTTATGACTTTGAAAATTAGTATATTTTTACCTGAACAGAGATAACATAAAAATGACAAAATCCACTTCAGAAGAAAAACATGTTACTAAGATATACCTAAGTTCTTCACAATAAAATAAGCATATTTTCTCTTGATCAGCATTAGAATAAGATCTGTTCAGCTACTTTCTACATTTTGTAAATCTCATATTTTTCTCTTGACCAACAATCCAACATCATAGTACAAGATCTTGTTCAGCTACTTCTCTACAACATGTAAATATATATTGCAAGATATGTAGCATGTACACAGGGAGATGGATTTTCAGAAAAAACAAGTTTATACAGTTTGGTATGGGAAATAAGACAGACCCGAGTAAGTACAACTACATTCAAAATCAGAAGATGGATATGTCTAACATCCTGCAAGACCCTAGGCTCACTCCGAGTCCCTCTCTCTATTGCCTTGACTCCTCAATCTCAATAGGGTAAGAAAAGAGAATCCAACAATTGCTAAGGAATAACTTGAACTAAGAGAACGTTAAGTAATACTTGATCAATTCCCCAATAACGAAAGCAGAAGAGTAACACTGGTTGATTGTTATCAGAATCAACTTGAGTAACTACAAATACAACAAGCTTTCACTTGTTTAGACATTGCAAGATCTTAACTACTTTGAGTTTTGCGATTGTAGAAGATATAGATATACTCAAGAGGACCAAATTCTCCACAAAATGATCAATTTGTTGTTAAATGATCATGGTATTCATTTAGATAATCAATAAGATTATATCACAATTTCGAGGATGGAAACTACTGAGCGTTCCAAATGATAGTATGTAAATTAGTTTGATTCAAATTATATTTGAACAGATGCCAACAAGGAAAAGGTGGATAGTACCATGCTTAACATATTTTATACTGCAACTTTGTCCTAGTGATTTGGGCATATTGATACTTGCATCAACAATAAGGAATATTTCTGTTTCCACGATCACATATATATCTGCAATAAGGTGTCTAAGATGCTCAGAAAAAGAATATTTTGAACAACTTTACACTGAAAAATCAGAACACAAGAGCTCAATATTAATAGAGTAGCACAATTACAGCAGAAATATGACAAATCAAATAGCACGTCTGATGAACAAACGAAAATCTTATGTACCTTGTGAGGGCCAGTTACCTCTTCCAGGATGCTGGTTCATTCGGCTTGCAGTTAAGAAAATAAATGTGTTATGAAACAGCATTATAGGTTTATCTTCCTTCTCATGAAGTTCCAATGAGGATTTGTGATCCATATCCTTTTTATGCAGACAAGTAAATATAAGCATTGCCATCACTGAATTTTGGCATAAGTGAGTAACAAATGGAAGTTAATCATTTGTCACTATTCATATATATCGACAATTGAAATACAGAAGAATCCATGAAAAGTACAACAGGTGTGCTTTTGAGCAACAAACATGACCAATCGATCGAATTTACTAATGCTCTACAATAAGAGCCTAAAGAATTCGACACCCCTACAATACCTTACTTCCATATGATCTGAAAGCACGAAAAGCTTATAGGAATAAGCTTTTCTTGCTCATCAAATCAGAAAGATAATTCCAAATGACTTTCCAAAAATTACAATGCTCTACAAAGATTGGCACCAGAGCTGAAGCGATTGAATTAACAATTCTATCAGCTCTTCAATCCCTATCTGAATGCTCACCAACTGAATTGTTTCTTCTAAAACGGGATGTACCTCCTCTACTGTTGCTGTGAACTATAGACTCATTGTTTCTTCTACCAACAACTGATCCGCTTACATATCTGCAGCTCAAAGCTCTACTGATAGATTTTGACTTAGGCTCAACCCCATCACCTTCTCCACGAAATTCAGATTGCCCCTCATTTCCAGCCATTAAATCCATCAAATTGCTGCGCAACCCTAAGTCAGAGTAAACTCTCGGCGAATTCCTCAGTGGCGTTGCAAGTCTAGCATCTCCACCATCCAAATCTCTTTGTTTACTACCTTTTCCCCTCAAGTTCAACTGGCTGGTTCTTGACTCCACAGGTCGGCCCACGGTCTCAACCATCAAACAAGGATTGGTAAAACCATTCCAGGAATGTAGAGGTACCAACTTACTCAACCCACTCAAACATTCAGCGACCTCCTTCATTGTTGGCCTCCTCTCCCTACATGGCCTCACACATTTTGCAGCCACAACTGCCAATTGCTTTCTTAAACCAGGATCCTTGGGAGGTGGAATCCTTGGATCATATACAGCCAAGAGCTTCCCTCTCTTTATCAATGGAATGGCCCAATCCACTATAGAGGGGGGCGAATACGCCACATCGATAGCTTTCCTCCCACTTATAATCTCCAACAACAAAATCCCAAAACTAAAGACATCAGTCTTGGTGCTCAAATTATCAGGGGTCACATAACATGGATCAAGATAACCCATTGTACCAGCAGGAGGAGTAGACCTCAACCTAAAATCATCAAGATGACACCTTAATGCTAACCCAAAATCACCCAAACGGGCATTGAAATTCCTGTCTATCAACACATTAGCAGACTTAATATCACGATGGATTACAGGAGGACTCAAAGAATGGAGAATATCAACAGCCTTAGCAGTTTGTAAAGCCAATTTCATCCTTCTCCCCCAACTGAGTGGACGAGAATTGGAATGCAGTACATCATAAAGGGTACCATTAGACATAAACTCAACAACCAAAAGTGTGTCATGAGAATCAATAGAAAAACCAACAAGATTAACCAACCTTGGGCTCTGCAATTTCGAAAGAATATCAATTTCATTCTCTACCTCATTACAATTCTCCTGCCCAGATGTCGAGGTGTTTCTAATTCTTGGGGCAATTCTCGAAGACCTCTTGACAGCAACAAGACGGCCATTACGAAGCATCCCTTTATAGACAAGTCCATGGCTACCCCTACCAAGAAGCTTTTGGTCAGAGAAACCATTAGTGGCTGCTTCAAGATCTCTGTAGTTAAACTCCTGGATTTTGATGGGTTTCTCCTTTTCTTGATTATGAGGTTGATGGGTTTTCTTCGGAGTAGCCGTACAACTCTGAGAATTGGAAATTGATACGGAAGATTCAGCTTTACATGATAGATAACCCATAAAGTTTAGATTTTTTTTTCTTTTCTGTACACTCACAAGCTTTAGGTGTGTTTTCACATGTAAATATTGGCAAATCTAGAACAAAAAAGAGAGCTTTTTGATGGGGTTTTTCAGATGAAGAGCTTTTTGGTTTCTGGGTATTGCAGATTATTGCAGATTGGTGATAATGGTGATGAAGGAGAGAGAGGTGTTGCGGTGATAATGGTGAAAATGGGTTGCCCACTGTCCACTGAAATGGAATCACAAGAATTGCACCATCTTATAAGGTATTTATTTTGGATTAACAAATAGGGTAAAATAATGGGGGATGATTTATGGTACTCCAAAAATTACAGAATTGATGAAATTGATCATTTTTATTAGAAGATCGATTAATTTAAATTTATGTTATATAAAATCTCATTAGAAGATGATTTTTTTATATTCATATTAGAACTCGAGATTTTAATTAAGGAAAGACCAGTATTATCTGCATTGCCATATCATAATCTATACTAGACGTTAATTAACAACTACTGCCATGAAGTAAAGAATACTGCGTGGAAAACCCATAAAAAGTGGAAAGTATATTCATGGAAAAGTATTTTTTTCTATACTTCCCAAATATTTAATCAGACAAGCTATTTGTTATTTAGGTGTGGTAAATTTAATGATGGTTTCATTTTATATTAATATATAATAAATTAAAAGGTCCAAAATTTGCTTATGTACAACTCGAAATTGCTTCAACTCTATCTTTATTAAACTTTTGATCTATTCATAACTTTGTCGTTAACTAGTAGATTATCTCATACTTATTCAGTTATAGAAACTTCAATCTATATGTTTAAATTTTTTTGAGAGAAACAAACGTTTAAATTTATCTTTCATTTTTTTTAATTATGATTTAAAATTACCCTTGGGTTGAAGTAATTTTGTTTAGGATCAAAGGCAAAAATAATTTTTTTTCCTAATAATAAAGAATAATATTAGAACAAAAGTTTAGGGGGTAAAAGTCACTCAATTGTGAAAGAAAACTAAACTTTTTATAACTTCAAATATGAAAATGAAAGGAAAAGTGTTGGGATAAGTGTGAACAAAGGAAAGTAGAGGGATGAGAAGAAATTTCCACATTTTTCTTCTAATTTTTCGGACTTTAGATTGCTTAAGAAAGTGAAAGCAATAATGTAGAGGGAAAAAGCAAATTTTTTTTAGCCACAATAAATCAGATAAAATATAAAAAGAATCAATGGTATCAATCCAAAATATTGTTTATACGACCTTAACTCTCAACCGTAATTAACCATTTAAATTTAAAGTTAAGGTATAGATACTTAAAGCTAGTTGCACATGTTGGAAGAACGAAAGTTATTGAAATTAACATGTTGGAAGATCAATCAATCAAAAAATTTGGGATAAGGGTCTGAAAAATATTTCAACTTTGGTCGGATTTGCTGTTGCGATACTAAACTTTCATGAGAACCTATTACCTCCCTAGACTATTTAATCCAAAATCGCATACTCATACAATGAAAACTAAGCTAGCTCCGACTTACAATCTATTTAACAAAATCTGTCAAGTAAAAAGTGTAAAACAATTAGTTCGTAAGAACCATCATTCTAAGACCATAATAGATTCCAATTTTTATTGTCAAATCATTACATTTCTCATCCAAAAAGTTAGAGAAAATAAATCATCTTTTTCGCAAACATGATACTCTAAAACAATTAAATTTGAAGTAATATAATGTAAAAAAACTTGTGAATTTGGACTTACTACTTATAGTAATGTATGAATAAAAGGAAAAATATTTGAGGAACAGAAATTAATTCCGATTTTAGTTATAATAATAAGGAATTAAGGAGGTTAATTATGCACGTGATTCGTAGTTAATTTGGTCAACTGTAGGCAAAAGTATACCTATAAAATATTGCATTTTTTTGTACATTTCTTTCCAATCTCATTACACAAAGCGTATATTCAAAGGTTAGACTATTTTTTAAAATTTTATTTTCATTTATTTATTATTTACATTCTGGGAATAGAGGAAAAGTGTACCTAGGGATTGCTTGATTACAGTAGATTTTTATTAGTGTTGAACCAATAGATTTATTTTTTTCTTTAAAAAATAACAAAACTTGGGGGATCGGAGACGTCCCAACTAATTGAATTGTCTATATGAATCTTTTTCTTTTATTATGCCTTGATTAAAAATTGTATATATGTTGCTAGGGGTGTTCACGGGTCGGTTTGGATCGGTTATTCGTTAAAATCAAAATCAAACCAAACCAAATATAATAAACATTTATTGGTTTGGTGGTTATCGGTTTCGGTTCGGTTTGGTTTGGTTCGGTTATTTGGTTATTAACCATACACAAAAATAAAAGAAACAATTCATTCAAAATGTTAAAAAAGTGACAACAATCCATTCAAAACGAAAAATAATTAGAATGACTTAAATTATTGAACTTTCGATCACTAAATTTACTATCAATAAAGCTTTAAAATTCACTATATTGGCCTAGAAGGAAGAGACAATAACATTTTCAGTTCCACAAAAAATTGTCATAGACACTCATATACATGAAATCAATAAGATAAATATTTCATCTTGGGCATTTTTGCTTTCAATAAGTAAATTATAAGGAAATTTTAATGAAAATATGTATAAGATCTTTAAATTTGTTTATAAAACCAATATATTAAGTATGCATATTTATTAAATATATGTATATAATTCATTGGTTCGGTTCGGTTATTTCTTCGATTTTTTCGAATAAAACCATAATCAAACCAAATACTATCGGTTTTCAAAAATCTAAAACTAGACCAAACCAAATCCAAATAAAATTGGTTTTATTTTATCGATTTGGTTCGATTTTTCGATTTAAATCGGTTTTTATCCAAACCGTGAACACCCCTATATGTTGCTTTGATTTTAAGTTAATTAGTTCGATAGACATATAAACATGAAACCTCACTATTTATGTAACTCAATACGGGCGTGCCCTATTCAATATTAAAAGAAGAGGTTCCTTAACTCTAGTAATTATTTACCATTTTTATTGACATATAAATCTTTGACAAGACTTACACTTTTAGAAATGTTGGCCCTATACTAAATATATATAGCAACATGATTAAACCATAATCCCAATTAACAAGTATTAATTTTAGGTCAATCTTATTCCTTTTAATACCTCAATTATTATGGTTTTACACATATGAACATCATGAGCATTAATTTGAAAGTGGACATAGGACATGAACAAATTATATTAAGCACACAATAGTCGCTCATTTTAATAATTATTTTTAACTCTATTTGATTTTGTATGTCACACATTTATTTTAATATTTATATTTCTGCGACACTCATCAAGTGAATATGCTGAACCTTAAAAGTCGAATATCATATTCTCATATATTATTTCTGACCTTACGAGATGTAACAAATCAAAACAATGAGGGACATATAGGTCATGTGATTATGAAGGAAATTATATTTGTAATTGCGTATTCACTTGTCTATTGGACTATTACATAGTACATTAGTTACTACAATATTAATCACGGAACGAATATATTCTATGAATTAGTAGTATTATATTAGTTAGTGGTTAGAATTTTGAACACTGATGGAAATGTTTTTTTCACCTCAAATTATTTAATCAAATCTTGAAGTATTAATTTTCTTAATAAATACTATTTAATTTTGAACTTATAAATTCAGAAGTAAAATAAATTTGATAATAAAATCTTAATCCATAAAATTAAATCATGAATTAGCTTCTTGATTAGAGTGGTTAGTGTCAATTGTCAAGAATCAACTTGACAGCTTAAATGGGACTAATATACTAAAAAATATCCAAATTCAAAATTATTTTCCTACCTAACGCATGTTTTCTCCATCTTCATTATTTCTTTATTAAAAAGAAAAAAGAAATTGAAGTAGGACAGATGTGTTGATAAGATATCTCGTGATGAAATAATTCGAAGCGTAGAATTCAAGTTAATTAATATTACATGAGTACAAAATTTATTTCTACTGAAATTTACATCAAATTAACAAATGAAAAAAATGTGTATTTTGGTTCATATAATCAACTGATATTTATCCTTATTTTATTTTTTAACGGATAAAGTTAAATTATTTGATTAACATAAATATCTTAACGATTACCCGGTGAATATACCATTTTATGAGCATCAAATGTATTTAATCCAGTTTCTTCCTATCTTTTTGTTGCAATACATGGCTTGGTCTTATTTTGAGTTAACAAATTTAACCCTCAATAAACCTATTAGGTAGTAACATTAATACTGGTGCATGGAGCTTAATTAACTAATTGATTGTTCCGTAGAATCAAAAGAAGAAATCAAATAAAGGCCTAACTCATCGGTGACCTCCTAAAGTTGACACGATGTTTCACTTAGACACCTTAACTAGACAGTGTTCATTTTAGATTTTAAAATTATTTTTTAATTATTTGGATAAAAATATTATGTGTCATTAATTCATTGGCCAATTTTTATTTTTATTCAAAAATAGTTATTTAATAATTACTTTTGATACAAATGGCAAATGTCATCATTTAATTCGTCACTTTACACGTCATTCGCTAGTGTAATACACACACCTTATATATTTTTGCTGAAATTAAAAAAAGTGTCAAAATGACATAGCGGGATTCTACATTAGGTGTCTAAAATGAACATTATCTAATTAAGGTGTCTAAGTGAAACATCGTGCCAACTTTAGGGGACACCGATGGGTTAGGCCTAAAATAAAATGAGAAGAATGAGTTTTATACGTTAATGTGGAATGTCATATATGTAACGTGTTTTAAGTTACTGATTTCAAAAAAAAAATAAAAATATGTAACGTGTTTTTCCTACTTTTATTAGGAAAGTCATTTTCTTTATTTTTAAACAATTTATTTTTTCTATAGAAAATATTTTTTAATTTTTTTGATTAACTGATCAAACATTATAAAATTAAAAAGTATTTTCTAAAACATATTTCCCTACACAAACCCTAAAAACAAAAATTAGAATTATATTACAAGATTTTTGAGGAAGATGACAAGGTGTATGCATAGTCTATTGAATAATAAACCCAAAATATTATAGAATGTCCATTTCAAGCCAGTTAAGAATACACAGACATATAAATAATTTAAGGACACAAAACAATCTTCCATTATTGTACCATTTTAATATAACATTCTGATTTTTTTCAGAATCGTTTTTTCATATTATATTTTAGATTTCACAAGATAGTACAAGAGTAATAAATTTTGGATATGAAATGGCTTCCAAAAAGAGATTCAATAAATTTAAAAGACAATATTAAAACAAATTTTAGGCTTAATTGTGGAAGCAATTTAATCATCCTTAATTGTCCCAAACACTTGTAAAAGCTACTCTCTTTGTCCCTAATTACTTGTCCATTTTTTCTTTTATAGTTGTCCCTAATTACTTATCCATTTTGACAAATCAAGAAAGGACAATTTTTTTTACCTATTATACCCTTAATTAAAACGACTAATTACTTTGAAAAATGTAGAATTTTCCATCTACTTCATAATTAATAGGGGTAAAATGGTAAACTCACTATGTCATTAATTATTTTCTTAATATGTGTGTCAATTCAAAGTGGATAAGTAATTAGGGACGGAGGAAGTATTATAAGTACCACGTGGGTTAGTTAATTGACCAAACAATTTAATCATGTATAATGTCCTTCACTTTTATAATGGGGAGCAGAATATAACCAAATAGGTAATTAAATTTACTAAAAGATAGTTTCTTTTTCCCAACCATTTTTCGTAGGTTGACAAAATTTGAAAGTTGGTGTGATAGCATCACCAAAAATTAACGCATTTAATTGATTTTATGATCATTTCCCCTGGTTCAATTCAGATGAACTATTAAGTGTCTACACCAAAGTTAGAAAATTAATTCAGGATATCTTAATAGTTCAGTTGATTGGCTATTTAAACTTCTATTTTATTGCTGAAGGTTTGATTTCTCATCTTGTAATTATCTTTTCCCTTTGTTTCCCCTACTCCTATGTAATAATAAAATGGGAAAAAAACACTTGTATCCCAAAAATAAAACTATTTACAAATGGTGACCCCTTATTTTCATACCCCTTGGTTTTAACTATATACTCTGATGACATCAAGGAGGTCGGAGGAAGAAGTAGTGTTTCATTGAAAAGACTACTCAATTACTACTTGATACCATCAGAGTATGTAGATAACATATTTAGATATCATCAGAGTATATATATACTCTGATGGTATCAAGGATGAAGAAGCAATGATTCAGTGAATAGAACAAAGGGACAATCGAATATATAGTTTGAACCGTAAATCTAATCAAGATAAATATATTGAGTTGAATCCAATTTGAATAAATATTTTGCCTAATGAGTTCAATTTGTATAGTTTTCCCTAATAAGAAATTAATTCTATTCCTTAGCTAGGGTAGGATTACATTGGGATCCTAAGTTGACCAAAATAATGTTTCTAACAAAAAAAAAAATATTATTTGCCCGCAATTTGAAGCGTGAAATTAGCTATAAAGTGGTATGCAACTAGTGGTGATAGACCAAACCATATGGTTATTCTTGTAAACAATTTTTTCTTTAGGAACTCAATGAATTCAAAAAGTGAATCAAGAAAGTGGTTATTGGACTTTAAAAAGGGGGAATATGGATGCTTTATTTCACAATTGACCACATTTTTTTTGTGTATTTATAATTCAGAGTTGCTAGTTATGAATACTGACAAATGAAAGGAGAAAGTTAATGTTACTTTTTTAAATGAAACAGAATTTTGGAAAGTTATATTGATGCAAACATCTTTTAGGTCTTCCATTTTTTCTCTGTGATCGCTCAATTAATAATTATTATCTCAATAATATCTTTTTTTTCTTCCGAAGAAAAGTGACTGCATCTTCTAATATTTCGAGTTTGGTTTTATACCTTAACCTCAATACACTTCACATCCATCCCAATCGTGATAAAATTACGATTCAGTAAAAAACTTTCTGAGATGATAACACTATTAGTTGAGTGATCATATGAGAAATCATTCCCATAATAACCAAGCTATGAAGTTAATATCTTAGATGGTCACTCAACTAATAATTCTTTTCACAAAAAGTCACTCAACTAAGACCTTTTACGAAAGTCACTATATGAGGTACTCCCTCTTTTCCTCTTTTACTAATTACCCAAAGTAACATTTACCTTTTACTTGTCCACTTAGATTTATTTATTTATTTCAAATTAGCTACTGTAGTACTACTAGCTAAATTTTAATTTTGAGTGCATGGTTAATAATTAATATGAGCAACTTAGTAAAACAGGCAGTTCATAAATAATTTCTTAAGGAGAGACAAATATTAAACTAGTAAAAGGGGAGTGGGGAGTAATATGGTTTAAAATAAGAAAGACAGCCCAAGTATAAATTAAAAATGGTGAATTCCAAGAATTTTGTAGAAGGTGACAATCTGCAATAACCTATGGAATAATGCACAGAAAAGTTTATGGCAAGTCCATTTCAAGCCAGTCAGGAAAATCCACGTGTATATCATCTCCGTTCATTTTTACTTGTCCACCTTAACATATTATGAAAAAAAAAAAGTCTTTATGTTTTACCCTTAACATTACCTACTCATTCCCGAAATCCATTAAGACTATTCACTAATTAATATGAATATTATGATAAACTATGCACTTCCATTTTTTTCCCTCAAAAGTGTAATTGTTGACAAGTAAAAGTGAACGGATGGATATGAGAGTAAATAATTTGAGGACCTCATGTTACTATCGTAAATTGTAGGATATCTGTAAGTGGTATTATTGTTTTTCCAAATAAGATCAAATATTGGATATGAATGCCAGAGAGATGGCTTCCAAAATACCTAAATGATGTCCCATTATTATTGTGGTCCTTCAAAGGAGGTGGGATCAATTAATATAAGGACTCTGAAATGTAGCTTTCATTTAACAAAGAGTTTGTTCAGTTTTGGAGAGTTCATTTTCAAGATTGAAAATGATTTTTTTTGTTTTTTATTTGAGAAAAAGTAACTCAAAAATAATGGAAGAGTTAGGGGTGAACTTATTTAGCATAGTAAATTTATTTCCTCCTTTGCTAAAAAGTGGTAGTAGCTAAAGGCAATTTGTCATGATAGACCATATGATATGATAGTGTAAACTTTTTACTCTTTCCTTTTGGAACTCTATGGATTATTTGCTGTCAAAAGTGGTTTGAGTCAAAAAAGTAGTTTTTGGGCTTAGAAAAAAGGGGACATCGAAGCTTCATTTGAAACTCTGACCAAGTCTTTAGTATATGTATAATATAATCAAAAACTGGAAATTAGAAAATATGAAGAGGGTATCTAGCTAGTGCTTGCTTATAAATGAAGAAAAAAGTGTAGTATGTATTACTTTATGAAATGATTTTCATAGAGAAAAAATAACCAGAAACATGTCAAGTTTAGGTGGGGAATTTAAGTCTTCCTTCTAACGTGTGGACCAGTTCAGGTTTGAGCTTTGCTCGACAGTACAACTAAAAATTCAATAAACAAATACACAAAAACCTTGAAATTTATTTATGAATTAGTTACTCTTTAATTTTTCTTGTCCTTCACGCTTTGAAAGGAACTTGGATACATATATGATGGAAGAAAGTTTCACATGATAACAAAGTATATAAAATAGAAAGGAGCTGAGTCTATTCCGATTTTCAAAAGTCGATAGTTTGAGTACAGAAACAAACTGCCATTGCATTATTACTACATACCACGTCTATTACAAATAGAGCATTTCAGTAAACTACTGCAACCAGAAGCATTCGGCAAGTCAAAAAGAACCCTGCAATCAAAGAATGATATCATGTTAGTTACGACACCTTCAAAAATAAAATATAGCCGAGACAAAATGAGAGGAGCCGTGGTACTTAGAAAAGAAGAAACCCAACTGAAATAGAGTATCACTTTCTTGATTTATAGTAGTTCATTTGTGCAACTAGATTGGTGTTTTAGTAAACATGTAAACTGTGTCATACTGGGCTAACAAGTCTCACAGAGAAGTTAATTTACAAGCCATACTCGATACCTTTGAGATCAACCTAAACAAGACCATGAAAAAGAATAGTACAAATCAAGTCAGATACAAATAGAAAAGTTGTCACTTCCTTTTTTGGATGTTAAGTAATGGGGTTGTTCTCATTTCCAAAATAGATAATCAGCTCATTTCATCAAAGTACAAGCTCAAACCTTGTACTTTGCTTCTCCAGTGTTCCCAATGCAAGTTATTAAACATGGGATGACAAGGAAATATCAGAACAACAGTAAACTAATGTAAAGGCTTATAGCTAATACTTGGAAAAACTTTGCAATGTACTGTTAAACTGATATTCAACCGAAAATCCGAGACAAGCAAAAGAATCCCAAGTATCAAAAAGCATGAGCACATCAATTATTCCCATGACTACCAATATCATTCATTGAGAAAATGGAGCAGTTGGAACTTAGAAATAAATTTTCAACCGGAAGCAAATGACAATTGAAAATTCCATTTGGTGAGTTTGAAAAACAGTGATTCTGATGGAGGGATGTGAAATGGAACAAGGAATACTGAAGGTAATCAGTAAACCAATACTAGGGAAACAGCAGGAAAGATCTGACACGGAGGAACAAGCCTGAAGAATGTAATTGGTCTATGAGGTGGAGAAGGCAAACAGAAGGATCCGGAAGACAAATACATCAGACAGATGGCAGGAGATGTGAAATTGGAAAGAATTATACAAAGTGGTAGATTCTGTGATAGATTGAGCTAGTGGGATTCGGAATCACCGCGGGTGCTAACAGTAGACCACTCAAAAAGCAACATTGGCTGCTCTTTCCAAGAGCCTGGGGTCAATCAGCTGTCGCGCGAAGTGTTTAAGAGATTGTATTTGAAAGCGAAAAGTCCGAAACGAACAACAAATATGGTGTCTAAAGAAGTCATTTTACACAAGCCAGTCTTAACGTTGCACGGTGGCGGAAAAATGTTGGAGATCAGTTAATACATCCAAACAAGACAAGAAGTCTTGGAATCTGATGATTTTCATTGGAGGTGTCAATAAGCTATGACATTTAGTATGAAAAATTAGTAGGAAGCCAGAAGAAAGAAGGGGTGTGACATGGAATGTCATTAACCAGGCAGTGAACTGGAACTAGAAGATCTCTCTTAGAGGAACTAAGCATTCCTTCATGAGATTACTTCATCTTACTAATTTTTCAATATCTTTTGAAGCAAATATCAATTCTGACTTGTATAAATGATTGGCTAACAGCAATAGAGAAAAATATTCTTGTAGCTATGGGTTATTCTATACTTCTTCCATAAGGGGGTAAGACCGTTTTACGAGTAATAAATATATATATCAAAAAAATTATTCCTCAATTTCAAACTAGTTTTGGTCAGCCATTAGACTCCTCTATACCCATTCTGCTCTACTAGATCCAGTTCTCAATGCTGGATAATTTCTCTTTTAGAAAATTTGGGGTTCCTTAATAGATGTCTCTTGATCTCTCACTTAGCCATAAAGGTCATTCAAGTCTCTTAGCATAACTAAAAGAACTTCATATTTAACCTCTTGAAATTAGTAATAAGACCTTTATGTAGAAACAACATTATTAGTTGATTGTCGAAAGTTGCAAAATCACGAGCTTCAAAACAATTAACGCCTAAGCTCAGTAAGAACATCGTTAAATAGTTAAACAGAAGAGGAAGTAACAGGTGTTCTGGGATGCAAAGTAAGAAATGGAAAAGGTAGAAGTAGAACAAACAAATGTTAGCTCTTCCGCACCATGTGGCCACAAAGCTGCAAACCCAGTTTTTAATTGAGTTTACAGAATACATTCTTGTAATGGCCATCCCAGTGTCGACTTTTATGCAGGAGGGTAACTGTTTATATAGCACTTTCACCCCACCTACTTTTTGTCATGGATAAGGGTGTTACCAAGATAATAAGAAGATACAAAAGCACATTTTAGAAAATACAGACAGAATGAAGTGAAAAAGTTGGTCACAACATTCTATAATATTCATATATGCTTGCAGCTCATGCTACTCAGTACTCACTAAACACCTTTCGTTTAAAGAAAAAGCAAATACATTACAACTCATAATGACACCGAGGACTATTCCATCTGTGACCCAATTTACCTGATTTCAAATGCAAATACTCTTGTTCCACTCTTTCCACTAGTATACAAGGGTTAACCAGAAAGTTAAGCCAAACAGTTAAAAATGTAGACAAACACAACCTTCAATTCCTCCATAAACATATTTATTCCCCGTGCTTTCATTTTCAAAATAAGCAAGTAATGAGAATATACTCCACCATACAAAGATAGCAACTAACTATTATAAAGATCACACAACGCGATACTGCACATATTGCCTATACTTTAGAGTCCTTGATAATCTCATTTTTTTTGTAGCCGAGAAATCCCTGGCCAGTGGTGTACAACTCAAAACTCGGAAGTTAACGTGCATGCTCATCTATGTTCACCACTTAAATAACAAGTTTTCGTAAGCAGAAGAATTTAAACCTGTGACGTGCGCCTAATCCACACATAGTTAGCTGTGCTCTTACCACTAGTCTTTAGTAATCTAAACAGCATTCACACTGTTGTAGTGTCACCACATGAACAACACAGTTCCTTCCAGATAACCAGGAAACCCAATCAAAACTCCAGGTTTTATAACTAGCAATAATATTTACTTTTTTCCATTTACAATTAAAAAACAAATGTAATTCAAGGTAACTCAAGTTACATCCCCACCTAAAAGTGGCACGACACACTGAGGAACCATAGAAGAGTAACCACAAGAATAAAAAAGAACATGTAACATCCGCATTTTATACCCCATGATAAATTTAGGAACAGAAATATTCACAACATGGCATCCAAAACCCAAAACATAGCAGAGATCACAAACAAGGCAAACAACCCTCCCTCCGTCCCAATTTAACTCCTTTTCAGCTTTTCAAGTCGATATGGTCTTATTGGAGCTATATCGAGATATTAATTACGTATCATATCAAAATGATCAAATAGTCCATTAAAAACCCAGAGACAAGAATCAGTTTGAAGTTCCAAGGATATGCATGTGGTAGACATCAGATACCCAAAACATAAATTAGGTCAACTGAAATCTAGAGATAGCATGAATTCAGCAATGAAATCGCATACAAATTTCAAACCCTAGAAGTGGCCAAAATAAGAGAAAAGGGCACGTACCCATGAGGAAAACAAAAGGGTATCCCCAGATTATTTTGAAGAAGAAGATTGGGGCTTATAATAAGAAGCATAAGTCGGAGGAGAATAGATCACCGCAGCAGCCATAGCTCCCGGAAACACTGCGTATTTAGCTATCAGCGCAATCTTCCTCACCAATGGCTCTCCCTTCATCAACGACATGCTTAAATCTCTTTGATCAACACACCAATTTTCTTCTACTGCTCTCTCTATCAATCAATCACACTAATTGTTCAAAGCCCTAATAATCTGACCCCTATTTTATTTCTCAATTCCACGATGAGGTTGAGAAATGATCCGACCCGATTCCTACCCATAAGCCTGTTTGCATCCACTAACCACTTCTAATCATCTTTTTATAAATAGCCACTGGATATATTTTTAAAATATGATATTGTTACGGAGTTTCACCTGTAATATTTGATATTTTATAAAGTTATTGTTTTTCAATTACATGTGCTAAAAAGTGGTTGCTTATATTCACACGCTTTTATGACGTACTCTAGGTAAGAAATTGCACTTAATAACTCTAAAATGAGTGGTTTGAACTTTTCACGCCGTTGTCCATGGGAAAATCATCAAGGCCTAAGACAAACTTATTGATTTTGAAGTTTTGTCCCCAAGTAAATAGGTAAAAGTTCAAAACTATTTTACCTACAACATATTCTTGTAAATCACCCTACTCTAGGGGTGATATGCACAAACAAAAATATCAATATGTAATGTTTTTAAAGTTTTATCACCATTTAAAGTAATTTTTGTAAAATTAAACCCAACGTTACATGTTGAGAAGAATGAAAATTTATGTTTTAACAAGTTATGTTAGATGGAACATAACATTTGATCTACTCTTGTTAAATTGTTCAAAAATATTATCAAATTGACAAATCTTACCTTGTTACAAGTTATGCATGTACATATAATTTGGATACAATCTTCATTTTACTTGACAGAAAATGTTAAAAGTTGCTCAAGATTGACAGTAAATGTTAAATTATTCCCAAGTTACGTTAGCTTTTCGCAACTGGTGTATCTTATGAACATATTGACCGGTTATAATAAATATATTTGTACAAGTCACTGTTGCAAGTGAAAATATATATAACTGTGGCTACATTTTTCTGTAGAGAAGAATCAATATATTAAATCAGAAAAAATTAGAACGCCAATCAATATTTAAGTCACTGCAATCAATCAAACTTTGAACGCGATCCAGAGCTGCATGTCTATGCTGCAATAATGCAAGGGATCCATTGTCTTCTGGCTCCTGCTCCTCAGTAGTACTCTTCCTTTTACGGGGAAGCTTTCTCGAAATTTGTTTCCATTTTGATTCAAATGCACAAGCTACAAGCTCAACCACAAAGTCGCAAAGTAATTAGACAACTTGCTCAAACTCTAAGCTCCAGGTGAAAGCAAATGAAATTTAACTGCTTTAGGAAGAGAGAAGTTTATTCAACATTGACTAAAAGGTCAAGGACACAAGAATGAATTGAAGATGTTTAATCTGAACAAGTCGATGGTGCTTTAATTTGCTTACTATGATACCACCCTTCCTGCAACAATCCAAACTTCCTCAAGGAAAAAAAAACACAAGCTTCTCGGGCCTATTGAAATATGCCGCCTAGAACCTAAGACGCACCATGGCGTGATGTTTTTATTTTAAAGATTATCACATTACTGCTGAGATGTTCTAAAGTTTTACTGATAAATCTAATCTCACTCAGATTAACAATGGATAGTCTGATCCTATGTCGTCCTGTAAATCAATTATTCCCACATTTTGTCGCTGAAGATGGTATGCTCTAGTTCCATATATACTCATAAGCAGAGTAGTAACATACTAGACAATCACTTCTAGCTAATCCTGTTGATAATATAGAGAAAAGTAAGGTTTGGGACGATGAGGTACGTTGTCTTAGTAATGTAATAGGCAGGTCTCACTTGTGATCCTTTCCAGTACCATTATATTATTATAGGCACAGATTCTTTTTTGGTTTGATCAGGGAATTCAGCAATGACAGGCATTGGTAAAAGCACATCAAACAAGGTTTTGCTAATTAGAAATGATGATTTCACACTTGAAATCCAGACAATTAAAATAATGGCTTGGGACATTAAGAGTCAACAAGCAGCAGGAATACATCTATCCTGGAGAGCTACAATGGATTCAGAGTCTCAACTTACCTTTAAAATTGTGTTTCAGAAATAGTTTGCACGACAACTTATCAGAACTGTTCCGCAAATTGTAAGCCAGATAGTCAGTTTTGATTACTACCAGTTAAAAACATATTTTCAGTATTATGTCCGAATTGCGTTCAACCTAAGCATAAGGTAGAGCGAGATGATCAATTTGAGGAATGTTCCAGGAACAGTTAAGAGCTTCGCTTGTGTAGATTTTTTCTGCAAGTACACCAGTACTATGCCATAACAACAAACAGACACTGCTTTTATCTACAAATTCAGCTACCTAGATGAAGTTTCAGCGAATAGACAAAACCCAAGTGTTTGGCAGTAGATCTAGGCAATCACAAGTTACCTTGTGCACCTACTAGTGGGTAACTTGTGATATGCTTCTATTTCTTATGAAAACAAGGAAGCGAAGAGAGTCTAAAAGATGCAATAGCTAAAATGGAAAAATTGAGTGGTCGCCATTAAAAAAAGGAAAAAGAAAATAAAGGCTGTTTGTTGATCAAAAACAGAAGATACTGCAAATGCAAAACAACCTTACGAACTGTTGAGCCCCTTAAAAACATAACCAATTGTACTGGGAATTTGCCAACAACATTGAGAACTGTATGGTTCTATGCCTACAAACATTTTGGGCCAGATACAGGGAAAAGCTATGGCTATCCTGTTATGATCCGTCTCTAGATAATACTCACACTGTTAACTCCTAACTCAACCTTGGTAACAACAAGAATACAAACTTTGAAGAAAACAGACACATCAATTACACTCTCTTTATAGTGCATTATCATGTCAAGCCTTACTTCTATCTTAACTAGCAATTTAGACATATCTCTTGAATTGCTGTTAGGAGAATGAGCTTGGTCAAAGAATCAAGAGAGCAGAAGTGGTTGGCTGTGTTACTCCAGTTAATAGTCACCAGGTACTTAGCAGATTACAATCTATTCTTGTCAGACCTTGATTCAGTCTTGGTATAGTCTGCATATTTACTCATCAGAACCGAAATACATATCTAACAACATATGAACTTTGTACTCATAGAAACTATAGAATCAGTACTAAAGAAACTTAAGAGTAAAATGGCTTGCTGGTTCAAGTACAAAATGAAACATTAACAGCATCTACGCTACCATCTTTCAAGTGTGTACATGCTCCAGGAGAATGCACAAAGCCATAAAATTGCAACTGATCTCTGATGGGGTTAGCTTAAAAGTTGAATCATGATTTTAGGCAACCGAATGAATATCAGGGAAACCAAAAAGGAAACATCTAAACAGCAAAAGTATGTATAATCAAAACTTAAATGTGCGCTAGCATAACAGGAGTTATAGACTTGGAGGCAATTTAGTATTTCTGATGAAAGAAAGAAGCACATCATATATAATAGTTGTATAAAGAAAGTACCTTCACTTCTGCCCTTAAATCCCCGAATAAGGCATGCACAAATCCAAGGTCTTCCTGAGCGAGATGCCTTTGCACCCCCTTTTAATTCACCATTATGTTCTTTTAGTCTATAAAAGACAGATCACCAATTAGAAATCAGCAGCTTAGATTTATGTGTGTGTGTGTGTGGAGGGGGGGGGGGGTAATTCCACTCTTTGAGCATGCTGACAGAACGACTGACACTCCCAACAACTCTCTCATTTCCAGTGATTTCGCTACAGTTTACTAGCACATCCTAGTATAGAGAATAATGGTCGATGAGTCACTACATGCTCAATGGAAGGCCAACAACCAATTTACCATCATGACTTAGTCTTTTTCACAAGTCCTAAAAAAATCACTAATCTCCTAAAATGTGTGCGACAATTGGGTGAATATAAAACAACCAGTGGAATAAAGATTGTCATTTGCCATAGTAGAACGTACTCGTTCATTTTAAGGCATTGACTGCAACCAATCCAATTCTTCATAGAAATATTAAATGAAAGCTTCTAGAAAAAACAAAGAAGATTTAAAATGAAGTTCAGAAAGCACAATCTATGGAAGATCAAAACATTTCTATCATGGTGTGTTTTATCCCTCGGTACTAATTATTTAAGGGAAGAACCACCAAACTACATTCTTGTTGTTTTCGGATGAAGGAGTTCCCCAAAGAATATAAAACTAGAAAAAGTGAATAAAGAAAGAAGCTACAAACCACCAAAAAGAATAGGACAATAGTAAAATAAAATAAGTTACACCTTCACAATGGAGAAGCCAAGATAGAGCACAACTATTCAGCTTCTAGGAGATCAGTAGGATAACTCCATCTCAGAGATCTTATCAAAGGTTTACCCTTTTTTCCCCATTTCTGAAATTCTTAGCCTACTTTCTCCATAAAAGTATCCTCTAACACAAGCTAATAGGGATAAGTAACCAACAACATATAAGCTAGACATGATTAACACATTGGTAAAAATCATTAACAGAAAAACTAGGCATTCTGACCTAACTCAACCCGAAAAACTAGCTCATGTCCATATAAGCATTCCATACCCCGACCCCACTTCATGCCTAGACCCAACTGGAGCATAGACCTGGAACCCAAAGGTATGGAACTGACACCGATAACATGTAAAGATATGGAAAAAATGGTCTACCTCAAACTCAAAAGCTAACTCGAGTATTGCACAAGTCCATAAAAGCATACCACTCTCAGTGGCGGAGCCACCTTACAATTAGGGGGTTCAGAGTTCATCTGAATAGGTATATATAATAGATGTCGAATCCCCTTCGGCTACTTGGTGTGTCTATTTTTTCAGATTTTGAATCACCGAAAAACCTGGCTACGTCACTGACCACTTAACATGTTTGATAAAATCAAAAGTCTGCTCTTTTTTTCCCCTTAGAATAAACAAGAGAAAGAAGTTACACACCGGCGAGAGAAATTGGTAGTGACACCAACATAGGTCTTTGTAGGTGGATTTGTCGAGAGAATAAGGTATACACACCACAAAGACCTCTTTTTCTTAGAATTACTAAATTTCTTTGAATTTGAAGCTGGGGTTGTTAGTAATTCCGAATCATTTCCAGATGATTGCTGTGAATTTGCATCCGATTTTCTTGTTTTTTTCGATTTGCTGCAACTTGAAGAAGATGCTATTGGATTTGAAGAAGAGGGAACTTTGAGATTAATGGGTTTCACCGATTCAAAATTTGAGAGTTTTGGTGGTTTCAGAATATGGGGCTTCGTCGATTTGAAGATTGTTGACAAAGGTCTAGCCATGGCGATGATGATCTTGCAGTTTTGTAATCTGAAAAATTGACCGTTAGTCTGGGTGCCGGTTTGGGTTAAAACAAAGGCAAATTTCAAATCACATACTAAAATTACAATTTATCCATTAAAGTTTATAATTACAGAAATTCCTCAAACAGATATAATAATATAAGCGTTGATACATTAATCTGATGCGCGAAATACATTAATTGTTAAGTAAGGTACATTACATTTTATACATGATACACTAATTTGATGTACATTTTATACATAATACACTAATCTGATGCGCAAAAATGAGGGATTTTGAATATTTATAAAACTTATAGGGGATAATGGTAATAAGTAAACTAAAATGTGGGATTTCTGTAATTTTTTCAACAAAGGGATGGATCGGATTATTAGCGACCCGTTTGGATTTAACAAATGATGCATTTCATTTTTAAATTAAATAAGAGATAAGTACTAATTATTTAGTTGATGAGCAAATTTCAGCCTTCTAATTTATTTATTTTATTGTGATAATTTTTAAAAATTGTTGAATATAGTAATATTTGAATTTCATAACAATTTTTTAAAAAGAAATGTTTTTTCATCGTATTCGAAATCCGTTGAAGTCCCAACTAAATCTGAATCGCGGGCATTAGGGGCTGGTGCTTTTCTTCTACCTCTTCTCTTTTTTTCATTTCCACGCAGCCCCTTTTCCTTGCTTTGTGTTTTTAATCAATTTGGAAGCCAAGTTCTTTAAAACCTTCTTTAATTTCACTATTTAAATTATTAATTTTTGCCAACGTTAATTTTGTATTCCAAATAATGGAAATAGAGAGAGAATAAAAAAAATCGTCACTTCCGTATCTCCTTAAACCAACAACCACCACTGCTCAACAAAAATGGATTTCACCATCATTTTATTCAAAAATTCTCCAAAATTAAATCCTTGATAAAAAGTGATACAAGCTCGTAATAATTGATACAAAAGAGCGAATAAATATAAGCAATACAAGTTAGTAACAATTGATATACTACAGCGCATGAACAAAAAATGAATACAAGTGAAACAAATTGATAACAATTAATACAAATGATTTTCGAAGTTTTATTTATAGATTTTATACACTTTGAATGCGCTTACCCTTGGTTTCACTGTCTACATGAACTAACCACAAATCATCCTTCTTTCAGGCATTACTTTGAAGGCGCATGGTAAAAAAATGTATGACTACTCAACAGGTACCGTGAATACATTTTTCAAGTGAAAAATGCAACCACTTGGTAGATCAAGTTTCATAAACAAACTGGGAGAACTTAATTAATGGATAACTAAACAGCTACGTCAATAATAATGTTATAGAAACAATTGAATTTCAACCCTTTGTTAGCTATTACAAGAGCTACTAAATGAGCTGTTATTTTCAGCACGGAGAAATGGATCAACCAAGAGTTTTGCCACCAGTACAAAGCCTTTAAAAATGGGCCACCAAGAGTCTCAAAAATCAATTGCTTGGTAAAATCTAACAGCGTTCAATTGAAGCCAACTAAAAAGGCAAGAGTTTTAACATGATCCAAGATTGAATGACTGGATTTCAGACAGGTTACAACCAAAACATATGCTAATAAAAAACAACTCTATATTTTAACACTGTAAAAAATAATCAAACATCGTTGCTAAGCTCTCTAACCTCTTCCCAAAATTTGCACGCACCTAAAAACCAATATCTAGAGTGGGTTAAAAGAGGTAGAAAAGTATCCAACTAGAAAGACAATCTAAAGGTGGCCATCTCCAGATAAGACAAAATGATAATTCCTTTTGAACTCACGGGCAAGAAGGATTTGAATCCAGAATCTCCAATTCTTTAAGTTCGGCCTACATTTATCTGAAGCTCTGTCTGATCTTAATCATTCGCTTGAGTGTTGCAAGCCAGAAGTTGCACTCGTCCCAATCACTTGTGGTGAGAAGTACCTGGGGATATATGCAAATATAAGAAGCAAACGGAGATCATATGATATTCTACTACCAATACTAGACTAAAAATCTGGAACTACATTTATCCAGATAACTACCTGTATCTGAAGGGCGGTACTGAAATCACCATTGTCCAAGGACTGACAAAGCTGCACAAGCTTTTCTGCTGCGTTCTTAGATATGTCCCCACTGTTTAGTTTTGCAAAAAGTGCTCCTAACTTCTTTGAATTATCCTCAATTTCCCGCTTCTTAGCTGGATTTGCTCGTGATCCACCCAATGCCTCTGATGTTTCATTGAACAATCTAGTCAAAGTTGCTATCACGGGTTTTTGCTGGGCTGCAACACATCATATGATTCGTTCCATTAAATATTGAGATTTAAAATGCAAGCACAAGAACCTTACTTTCCCAGTTAAGACTTAAAAGCAGATCTTACGACCATACCAGGCCATTTAAAGAAATAGAGAAAAAGGACACATGCTAACATAGACCACAGTAGTTTAGAAGTACAGAATCTAGGAGCAACTAGAAACAGTTCAGGATGGTGCCGAAGTTCATCTAATTTTACTCCTTTATTGAACTTCTATACGAAGAAGGGTTATAATATAGCAGCAACAGCAGTTTGTCCAGACAGAAACTCCAAGAGTGAAAGAAAATACACTGTCCATTCGTTCTATAACTTTACAGCCATGAAAGTCTGTCAGTGGTGCAAAACGATCTTTTGTTGGTGTCAATATAGTGCTCCCTCTTAAAGGTATAAAAAGGATTTCCATATGTTTAAGCCCAAGAAGCTGAAAGTGATTTCAATGACTAAATTTAATTGAAATGGCATTGTATAAGGGGTGAACAAATGAGAGTAACCTGTTACTGCAGAAAAGGTATAAGCTTCTCCTAAAACGTATAGATTGATACCCCAATAAGAACTTACAAGTGCTGTATAGTTAATCCCACACGTGGGGTCTTGTGTTTACACAGCCTTACACCTACCTTGTGAAGGTAGAGAGGCGGTTTCGATAGACTCACTACTCAAGTAAAGCATATAAAAACAAGAATGCGAGGCAAATACAGTACCGAGGAAGTTTTGGGTGGTGCCTGAGCATACTGCTGACCTATTAAACTGTTGGATGAGAAGAGGGGGAAGTAAAACACAGAAAAAATGGTGGAATCTAGTTCCATCTTGCATATGGTGGTCAATTTGGAAGGAAAGAAACAATAGGTGCTTTAAGAATATTACTAACCCAATGCAGAAAGTTAAAGAAAACTGCATTAATACTCTATATTTTTGGTGTAAAGAAGAGGGTATAGATGATGTAAATCAGTTAGTAGATTTCCTAGGCTATTTGTAATCATGACTACTTCGCCTTGGAATTTTTTTGTTTGGTTGCCAGCATACCCTCATTGCTGATGAATACAACTTTACCATTCTCAAAAAAAAAAAAATACAGTACCGAGGAAGTCATGCTGAAAACAATGAAGAAGAGAACAGCAGCGACGCCAACAAAAATACGATAACTGAAGCAAATGAAACATTGAGTGATACTAAGATCGAAAAAAAAAATACAAGATCACTACATAAAGATCACACTCACCACCCATAGGTAACAATGTTGAACAATTCATGGAAAGAAGTAACATATGTCAGTAAGAAGGAATTGTATGGCCGTCCAAACTACAGGAATGTACGAAAATGAATGTAACGGATTTAAAGTGGAAGAGAAGCGAACCAGGAACATTTGAGGTATCCACCGTCTGAACTGTAGGTGGAGGAGCAGCAGGAGCTGCTGGTGGCTGGACTTGAGATGGCTGAGTAGGGCTTGGAGGCTGCATTGGAGCCATTCCAGGTCTCTGCACTGGATTATTAACTGGCATAAATCCTCTAGGAGCTTGGGAAGAAGCTACAACCTGAGGCATCTTTTGTCCAAGAGCTGGGCCAGCTTGACTAGGGTGAGGGACATATGCAGGAGGCACATTATGACCACCAGCATAACCTGGGTTAGCAGGTCCCTGAAATAAGCATGCAATGAAAATCATAGGACTACGATTTATCTTTGCCCAAAACAACCCCCCACCCCACCCCAACCCCAGATTGAAATGAAATAATGGAAACTTCAACATACGGGATACAACTGAGCACCCAAGGTGGGCTGCTGATATTGCTCCACATTTCTCAGCGCAGGGGGATTTGATGGGATGAAAGAGGTCTTAGCAGGCTGAGTAGCAACAGGTGGTGGAGCAATGTTACCCTGCAAACATGAGAAAAATATATATTAGTATGCAAAGATAACTTCACATTTATGTGCTTCAAGAGGTAAGTACTTGTTTCAACTCAGCAGCTATTAATGTGGCAAGAATAATCTTAACATCCAAAAGAAAGCCAAAAAGTCCATACCTGAGGAACTGGAGGAGTTGGAGTTGGCAGAAACATGTTTGGTTGCTGGATGTTTTGTTGTGGAGCAGGCTGGTATGGGACAGGAGCAGCAAAGCCGCTATTGTATGAAGAACCAAATGGTTGTTGATAATTCTCAGTATAGGGGATGTTTGAAATGCTAGGCTGTGGCTTGGATGGTTGCTCCTGAGAAGAGAGAAATTAAAGAGGATAAATCATACGAAATTTCTAAAGATGACAGTCCTGTTTAAGTAAGGTAACAGACCATTAAGAGAGGAAGAAGATAATACCGGATAATAATGCTGAGAAGGATCAGCCATTCCATAACCAGCTTGATCTGCAACATAGCCGGATCCAGTGTGCAGTTGTGAGTTGTCAAAAGCCATAGATTTCAATGCGTCCTTAGCTGCAAAAGACAAATATGCTAAAAATCGTCAGTTTGTTTTGTTTGAAAGGGATTGCACTATCTGCACTAGGCTAATTCACTTGAAATAAAAATGCTGCCACACTTGAAAAACCACCATTGCCTAAATTATAGTTAGACCATAAACCATAAAAAGAAACCCAAAATTCAAATAAAAAAGGGTACATGAGGAGGATACCATAGATGCTACTTTCTTAAATATCAGAAGTAGCCATGTCCCCTCTGTACAGCATAGTCGT